CTGAATGATCTAGAATGTCCCAATGTTATGCAGGAGGCAGACAGATAAGAGAAACTTGTGTGCTGAGCACATCCCCACAGGCGGCCTCCAGAGCCCTGTCATGTGGCTCTATCCTCCTCTCTTCAGGAGGCTCCTCAAACTCCTGAAGGTTTCGGATCCCTGAGAACTGATAGGGGCCATGTCAGGGTCTTGCAAGAGCTACCACCTAAGTTTGTCAGACTCTGCAAAGAAATAACAGCAACAGCCGGCTGGGTTTGCTTTCATACTGACGCTCTTATAGGGATGACGTCTAAAAGGGACACAAATTCACTGGGGCGTAGGCAGTTGGAGCCCTGGTGTCTGCCCGAGGTCCTGTCCCTGCTGCAGACCTGCGGATCTCAGATCATGTGACCCCCTCTCAGGAGCTTTTTCTCTTAGCAGTGTGCAGCAGCCACCCTCCTCCTTGTGTCCTCTAATCCCCCCCCCCCCACCAGGTGTATTTTCTTTCCATCTCTTAAAGCTTTGGACAGGAGCTGAAGAAATGGCTCAGTTGTTTATAGCTCTCACACCGACCTGGCCTCTATCCCCAGCACCCACATAGTGGCACACAGCCATCTGTCAACTCCAGTTGCAAGGCGCCCAATGCCATTTTCCCATATCCGAGGGCAGCGACACACACGTGGCGCACAGACGTGTATGCAAACAAAAGATTCATACGTAATAACATAAAATACATCCTCAAAAAATTCAATAATGTTTCCAACCTCTTCCCATCTGTACCTATGCCAGTGTCCCAACAGTGAGCCGCGTGAGTGCGGGACCACTCTGAGTAGTGGGTGACAAACAGCAGAAACTCAGTGGCCACCCAGTTTGCACGAATCTGTTCGCGTAGCTGCAGGCAAGTGAAGCACTTAGCTATCAAAAGGCCAGTCTGTTCAGAATCTCGCGAGTTTTATTGTAGTTTTTTTGTAAACTGTCACATCCTGCAAGGAAGATCAATTATGTAGATATCTTTGGATATAAACTAGAGTAATTATGGCTCATGATTTATTATGCGTTCTTATCACAGTGTCCAAGCATGGTTGTTAATTGTTAATTTTTATTTCCTTCAAACTCAACAACAGAAAAAGTCCTGTGAATCGTGTGTGGGTACCTGCAACCGGTGGCCTGCCTGTGACCCACCATGCTCTGCTTCTTTCCCTGGGGTCTGGATCTTGTCTTCTCTAGCCTTTCCTTTTCTGCCTTACAGTATTATAGCAACTGTATATTTATATGCACATACATGCACACACACATACACACATATATTCCTAAAAGCATTTGTGATTTGCATGTGATATATATATATAGATATATAAATTTTGATTTTCTAAAAATTATTTTATTGCATTAATTTATTGATTGATCATGGAGCATGTGTATGCACATTGAAAGGATGGGAGAGGATGATTCCTGAGAGTCAGTTTCTCTATCACGTGGGTTCTGGGAGCAAACTCAAGTCCTCAGGGGTAGAAGGTATGCAGTGAGCCACCTCTCCAAATCAATATTTTGATTAGAAATGAAGTTGCAATCTTTTATGATTCTTGTATTATCAATTGATGCAAAATATGTATAAATACATGAAATCTGACTTTACATGCACAGTTTAGAATCCCACTTGACCCAAATGCTCGGAACTGGAAGTGTTTCAGATTTTAGTGTGTTTGATTTTTTATAAAATGTTTGCACAAATTTTACTGGTCAGGTGCGTGTGGTTAAGCTGAGAACCCAAATACTCACTAAGTTTCAAATCTGAAAGCACTTTGAGTTTCTTCTGGTTGTTGAATTAGGTGTTTGCGTCTGTGTTCCTACACATTGTCCATGTTGTTAGCTGTGGCTGTAATTTATTCATCTGGGTTGCATACTCGTCCCCAGTTCATTTGATCAGTTTCTTTCCCATAGCAGAATTGTAGACAATTGCAATTTACAATGCCGAGACAAGGGAACAGTCACAGTGTGAGCTCTGCTTTTACCATGGTAGGATGAGCATCTAGACCTAGAAAGTTTTCCATGAATTTATATTCTCTACATGATTAGTCTACAAAACACGAGTAAAGGATCTTCTTAAGCACTAAGAGCGAAGGATTTCAGTGTAACAAAATATCGGGTATTTGTACGTGGAACTTGGTACCACGTGCCAGTTCCACGTTAGGAAGCCACTATTGCTGCGTTTGGCAGCAGGAAAGGCGCCCCAGAGGCCAGAGCACTCCTCTCATCTCCTTACTTGTGTGAGATTCTTTAGCCAAGACAGCCTTCCTAGCAGCTTACATGACCCATGGATCTGAGAACCGCCTGACTGTTGCAAACCAAGTGTTGAATAGATGTACCGAAATATAGGCTGATGCCACCTCCCTGCCCGTGCAAACCATTCTGAGCACATACGAGGTTAGTACTCGATGCTCTCGTGAATGGCACTGGCGCTGACAGAACTCTTCCAGCTGTCGTTTGCAGCCTAGAAGACCTGGATGGACATTCTAACGCAACTCTGTAAGAGTCCTCTGTGACCTTTAAGTGGGGAAGGGAACGCTAAGGAAAAGGGTTGAGCATTTTGGCTGAAATACGTTTCACTGTGTTTTCTAATAAAAGAATTTTAAATTGGGCTGGCCTGGGTCTGAAAAAGCCTGGGTCAAAACCGGTCTCGCTGAACACAGCGGACAAGGAGGACTACTGAGACCCCAAGAACAATGGCAATGGGTTTTTGATCCTACTGCACCTATTGGTTTCGTGGGAGCCTAGGCAGTTTGGATGCTCACCTTACTAGACCTGGATGGAGGTGGGTGGTCCTTGGACTTCCCACAGGGCAGGGAACCCTGATTGCTCTTTGGGCTGACTAGGGAGGGGGACTCGAT